TAATGTGTTGCAATGTAACCACCATTTATGATCGCTAGCATGTTTAGTAGTGTTGTAATGTATTTTATTTAAAAGGTAATTTTGCTTTCGCATCACGACAATTAGTAAGATGCCGATGATTCAATCCCTCATCATGCACATTTAAGAAATATTGTGATTTGTACACAGTATTGCATGTACTCAAGATGTGAACGTCTATTCAATTTACACATTATATTGCTTTGCACTAGATTCAGACGTAACATGCACACATTTCAGTAATTTCCGCATGATACGTCTTTCCATAAGATGCGGAGTCCGCATCATACGTCTTCCATATTCTAATAATTCCATATGTGAGGTCTCCGCATCTTACGGAACGTTTCAGTAGGAATGCTGGAAGAAGTCATGAGGCAAGCGAGCGCAAAACTCAAAAATACAGCTGATAGACGAAACCTCGTGATAATTTCTGGCGGTTTAAACAATGTCTTAAATGGAGATACAGCAGGACTAGCAACCACACTGGCGAAAGGGGTCGATTACATGCGCGCCACTTCTTCTCAGGTACAGGTAGTGTTATGCACAATACCAGAGGTACAGGTACGTGACAGAAACCTGCAAAGAGCGGTTTTCAACGCAAAGCAAGAAATATGGCGGATGAGTAGAGAGAAAGGCTTTGAGGTGGTGGAAATAAGCAGAGAGGTGGAGAGGTAGGGTGGTTTTCAACAAGACAGAATTCACTTCGATGGGCGGCTAGGCTATGAGGTGGGTTGGTGACTAGCAGGATGCGCAGTAGCTCATTTGGAGGGCACGCGGGTCCTTTGGGGTACAGGATAGCTAGTAACGAGGAAAACAACCTGGGAGACTCTTTGACAAGTGGTATGCAGAGATACGATTTTAAAGTGGCACAAGTATCTAAGATAGGTAGTGTCTGGAGCAGAAATAGGCGTAGCCAGGAGCGCCGAGCCCATTCAGACATATGGTATAATAACATGCGGGGTGGCAGGAACAGGCTAAAGTAGAAAGACATAGAACAGCTAAGGCAGGAGAGGCCGATGGTATATGATTTTGTAGAAACACATCTTAGGGACATAGAAAAATCTCCTAAAAATCCGTACTGTACGTGGGGATATTGTAATAGATCAGAAGGCAGCAGAAAAGGGGGTGGTATGGGGGCATTCATTCATAAAAGTAGAGACCGGCAAAGGGTCAAGCAGGAGTGCAAGAAACATTAAGGAATAAAATTGAAAGTGGCCGGGCAAACCACACTCTTTGGTTTTGTGTACTGTGGGCGGGAGCAAAGGCCAGAGAGGAAAACCGGGAAATGGTAGAGTGTATACCAAAGGACATTGATGAGTTAGGAGGAGAGTGCGAGATAAATAAACTAAAAGATATGAATGCGCACATAGAAGATATGGATGAGTATACCGACCCGACAGGCAAAATGATTATGGATATGTGTGAAAGGCATGATTTGATCATTTGTAACAGTACCGAGAAGTGTGAAGGCCAAATCACATGGGAGGTAGGAAGGTTCCAGTCAACGATAGATTACGCACTGATGTCACATAGGATGTATAATAAGCTCAAAGGAATGCACATAGATGAAGGTGGCTCCAGAAATCTGGGTAGTGATCACAAACGTATCAAGCTAAATTTTTGAAAAGCTGTGAAAGTGGGAAGGAGACAAGATGAGCAAATACAGGAAAATTTTGATTCAGAAAGGCAAATACAAATAGCTACTCGACAAATTAGAAAGTAGTCACTGTGGATAATAAAACAGAGTGGACATACACGAATCTAACTAGATTGTTTGAGCTAGAGCTTGATAAGGCACGTGACAATTCATCCTGAAAAAGAAGACACAAACCAAGAAGTTGGTGTAATGAGGAAGTTAAGACAGCCATAGCAAAACGTCTGGAAGCCTATAGGGAACACAGACATGCTAAGCAGCGGGGTCAACCGACAGAAGATGTTGAAAGAAAATGGGAAGCCTTTCTAACCTGTAGAAAGGATGGATTCCTTCTGATCAATAAAAAGATTAGAAGAAAGGGAGCTCAGTGGCTGGCAGAAGTACATAAAAAGATAGAAAGGCAACAGTGAAATTTTGGAACCATCAAAACTCCCTAAGAAATGAAACGAGCCTCGAGCAGAGGTTTATAACTACCGCTCAAGGTGCTAGGCTAGAAGGGGACAAAGATATTGAATATATAAGAACAAGGGTGACAGAAAAATTTCAACAAAGAAGTGCTTTATGCACCACAATGGACAAGGATGAATCGAGTGGCGCAATGGCTTCCTTTTCAAAACGAGAGGGGGAAAGAACTGCGAAGAGGGTTCCTAGTAGTAAATCAGCCGGCCCAGATGGCATTCCAATCATGCTGATAAAGACATTTGTTCCGAAGTCTGAGGACGCTTTGAGAAATGCAGTGAGCAAAATAATTATCGATGGTGAAGTCCCCAATTGATGGAAACTTAGCGTAATGAGTATGATCTATAAAAAAAAGGGGAACAAAGCTGACATAAACTACTACTCTCCTACAACAGTGACATGAGTGGTCTGCAGGCTAGTTATGCAGAATATAAAGGAAATATTGCAGACATGGATAGAGGATGAGGAGGTGCTGGGGGAACTCCAGAATGGCTTTTGGAAACACAGGAGGTTGGAAGACAATCTGTTCTCACTGATGCAGTGCATCGAAATAGCAGAAAAGAAACACAGGCCCCTGTGGCTAGCATTTCCGCATATCAACGGAGCGTACGATAACGTGCTTCAAGAAAAAATTTCGGGAATACTGGACACTATAGGCATGAAAAATGGAGTCACTATTTTTTGAAGATATCTATAGAGGTAACAAGGTACTTATAAAGTGGGAAAAACAGGTATCTAAGCCTGGAGAGCTAAAACGCGGGCTAGGAGGTTGTGTCCTATGACATCCTTATTATTCATGGTGTACCTTTAAGGAATAGACGCCAAATTAGAGGGAAGTGGACTGAGCTTCAACCTCTCTTTCGTCAAACAAGAAAAACTCATTGAACAGGCACTATCAGCATTGATGTATGCAGATGTTACAGTGCTATTGGCCGACAACAAGGAAACTTTGCAGAGATTGATGGACATCTGTAATGAGGGAGATAGGTTAGATTTCATATTCAGTAAGGAAAAATCAGCAGTCACAATTTTTAATGACAATGAAAGTATTGAGCTTAGAATAAAGGAGGTCACGCTAGATATAACAGATAAATACAACTATCTGGGCATATGGATAAGCACTGTGGCCGAATACCTAAGGAAACACGAAATATACGTGACGACTAAAGCCAGCAGGAGTGCAGCGGTGATGAAAAACGGGGCACTGTGTGATTACAATATGTATAATGTTGTGAGAGGAATATGGGAAGGGGTCATGGTTCTGGTCTGACGTTCGGCAATGCTGTCTTGTGCATGAAATCCGAAGTTCAAGCAAGATTAGAAATTAGGCAACGTGGAATAGGTAGGCTTGCCTTAGGGGCTCATGTGAATACACCAAGTCAGGGAGTATAATGTCATTTTCGATGGACATCATTTGAGGGCAGGGAAGCTAGCCGCAAGATAAAATTTGAGAAGCTATTCAGAGAAATAGGGGAGGAGCGTTAAGCTAGGAATGTATTCAGCTACTTCTACATGAAGAATGTCAATAAAAAATAAAAGGAGGAAGCGAATCAGAAAATTGACTGGCAAATACTTAGCGAACAGCAGGGGCCCAAACCATAAAGAATTATCGGTTAAGAAAAAAGTGAAAGAAGCTGAGACCGATATGTGGAGGATTGGAATGATTAACAAGTCCGTACTAGAGATCTATCGAACTTTTAAGCAGGAAATTGCCAAGGAGAGGGTCTATGATAATACTCGGGGTAGTTCTCTACTGTTTGAGGTCAGGACTGCAGTATTGTGAACCAAGACATATCGGGCCAAATAAGAAGGGGTAGACAAGGCGTGCAGTGCGTGTGGGGAGGAAGAAGAAAGTACCGAACACTTGATAATGTTCTATAAAGGCCTCCACCCTATAGTTCAGGATGATGCCTCAGAGTTTTTTAAAGCACTGGGGTTCAGGGACAGGGAGGGCACAATAGACTAAAAACGGGTATAATTAACTAGAAGGAGGCTATCTGATGGGTGGCTGAAGCCAAGACACGAGTGAAAGTTAAACCCTTCGCTGAAAAGTATGAATCCTTAACCTCACTATTTAAACAGAAAAAAATAGACTTAGTTTTTGGTTCTTTAAGTATTACGGCTTGGTGGCAGTAGCCACCTCCGATCTAAAGGGTACTGCTATATCCATCAATCCCTCCATTCATCTAGGCACCTATCATCATCACCACTCCATGCGTTGTGAAACTGTGCACGCTGCATGACTGAACATGTCAGTGTGCCTTATAGATATTGTCGTGTGCACAGTGCTGCGCTCACCATCGTAGGCGTCATTGTGTCTTTCGAAAGCCTTAATGTGTATATATGCATTAAGTTTTGTGTTTCACGGGTGTGTTGAACTAAGGGCCGGTGCTGTGTGCCAATGTGCTCAGGAAATTACGAAGGAAGTTCAAAAGCTTCTTTGTTCAGCCGAAGCGAGCCGAAGTCAGCCGAAGCGAGCCGAAGTCAGCCGAAGCGAAGAGCCAAATCGCAACATGCGGTGCGGCGTGGCGATAAGAATGTCGCACAGTTGAAGGACCCCAAGGTAAGCAAAATCGCACATATTTATTATTCAAACAGATGAAAAGGAGTACTTCCACGCACGCGTACGTAACAAAAAGCCGCAAGTGGATAGCAGATAGCTGCTATACAAACGTAGATTTTTATACGTTACACTTTCTTGTTGCTTCAGAACATTCTCTGAATGGCCTTCATAGTATTTGAGTTATTTGCGTGCACTCCTTTTTCGTATGCAGGTATACGAACTGCACTTGAAGCAAGAGTATTTGGGGACAACCTCTTCATCCACAGATCTTGATGGGTGGACTATCAAAACACCCATGAAACTTACCAGCTGACGCCGGACGCATTGCCAACAATCTTTGCTGGCTGTCCAGCGTACGTGTCTGACGAGCGGAAAACACGCGAAGGTGCCTACGAAAAGAAAAAGCGGACTGAATACGAATTGCTTCAGCAAGCCATTCAGCACTCTCAGATAATATATGAAAACGAAGCATAGAAAAGCAACGTCAAAAACTTTGTTTACATTGCGTCACTCATAGAACGCACGTGGCGCATAGTGTTTTGGTCTCCAACCATATGTGATTCGTGCGTGAGTTTCGCTCATATGGCGATTAAATTGCATGCACCAGAGCTAGTCATATCTGTGGTAGAGGCCACTGATTTATCTGCTTGTGTATTTTCAAAGAATGTTTCGTTGTTTTTCTGCGATCGGCTGTGCATTGCTTCTAAGATGTGTGATTTTTGTGTGCTCGTTGACCTTCTTGACAATGTGGAGAGCTACAGTGCTAGTCGAGAGACAATTGATTGATTGATTTGTGGAGTTGAACGTCCCAAAACCACCATATGATTATGACAGACGCCGTAGTAGAGGACTCCGGAAATTTTGACCACCTGGGGTTCTTTAACGTGCACCCAAATCTGAGCACACGGGCCTACGTAGTCGAGAGACAGCCCACAGACAAGACAAAGTGCATAGAAGCTTAGCAATGCTCATTTTAATTCTCGATAACATAGCGAATGAGGAATTAGAGGAACGTAAAAGAGTTGATGCACTAATGTTTCTGAAAGAGCATTGTCACCTTCTTACCAAAAAGCCAACGGTATGAGGTACTCTGCGGAGATTCTTGTTTTCGCTGGCATACTGCACACTATTTCACAGCATGCTTGTAAATTTCTTCGCGACAGTGGCAAGCTCATACAGCCACATTCACAAACAAGCAAAAGAGTCTGCGCAGCGTGTGGTGTCAGCCCTGCTGAAAAACTAATTGAGGAAGCTTTTTTGAGGTTCACGAAACGCAGGGCGAGTATTTTGAAAGACAACGAGAGAAATGTGTCGCTAATTGTGATATGGGTAAGTGGCTCCCACGTGTTATGTGAGAGCGAAAACAAGCGACGAGACAACACAGACTCCGGTGACTAACTTTATTTCCGTTGCGTGCTCCGCGAACTGTGCCGCCACAACGTGAGTGCTTCCCTTGGTGCGTTGGCACCATCAGTCGTGCTGCACAGCCAGATGCATGGCCAGACTTCACACTTCTTCCCACCCACACTGGAAAAACCGAGTCCAGGCTGTCTATGGCGAATAGCGTTCCACGGCACGCCTTGCTCTTGAGCTTTTTCGCATAGGTGGAGTTTGCGACTCAGACGTGGAGAGGGATGAAGCAACTGGCAAATCTGCTGAACCTTGCCCAGGTTGAGCTTCATTCCGAACGTCAGCGTCTAGATGAGGTTTTCCGATACCGTTCTGTTCACCATGTGCACTCACATGATGCAGAAGGTCCGGAGCCTCTACTGCGGCATCCGAGGGTGCTTCAGGTGCGGCGAAGCCAGGGTGCAATAGCTCCTGATGTCGCCCCCAGAGCTGTCTATCTCGCAGTGTGACATCAGCAATGTGGTCTCCCGACGTGGAAGTAACTGTCACAGGACCCCAGGCTGGACCGCATGGAAAATTCTTTGCATCAACAGCATCCCCTGGTTGCGCAATCAGAATTAGGTGGATGTTTTTCTCATGCGCTACCTTCTCCTGGAGCTGGTTATTCAGGTGTCTGGATCTTATGTTCGGGTGTAAGAGGGTCAAAACTGTCTTCACCTTCCGTCCCATCATCAACTCAGCCGGTGAGCATCCCGTGGTCTCATGTGGCGTTAATATCTAAATCAGAAGGATTCGTGCAAGCTGACATTCAAAGCTTTCATTCGCTGCCTTCTTCAGCTTTTGCTTGATTGTTTGAACTGCCCGCTCTGCAGGCCCATTCAAAGCGTGATGATAGGGTGGTATAGGCACATGCCTAAGGCCGTTTCATTGGAGGAGTTCCTTGAAACTGGCACTCACGAAGGCTGACGCATTAGCGGACACGATTATGTCCGGCAACCCATGGGTGCTAAACATGGTGCACAAGTATGGAATGGTGGCCTCTGTCGACGATGTTCTCACAGGCGTGACTTCTACCCATTTTGAGAAGGCATCGGTGACAATCAGCAAAAATGATTCGTGAGAGGTCCGGAATGGTCTATGTGAATTCGCGACCATCGCTCCTCTGCGAACGGCCATGCCGTCATGGCTACTGGCCAAGCCGTTTTCTGGTTTTCCTGGCACACGCGGCACTGATGTACCATATTAGCGATATCATAAACCAAGGTTAATCAACACACGTGGCTACGAGCCACCGCTTTTTTTTTATTACCAGGATGGCCTTCATGGAGCAGGTGGAGCACTTGCAGTCACAGAGTAAAAGAAACCACCATAAGTGAACTTAGCACAATGCAGTTTTCTTTCACACTCAATTGCGTACTTTGATGAGCATAGAGTTTCAGCACAGGTTCCCGCAGTTGTTTTCTAACCCACAGTGCTTCACGAACCTTTGCCAAAACTGGATAATTCGAGGTCGCCTCAGCCACAACAGATGGCGTCGTGACCTTGGGATACGCAGTCTGGTGCATGGCCCCATCTGCCGGCTGGCTGCTTAACAGTGTGTTCAGTAACAGGCATCGGTAATCGACTCAAACAGTCGGTGTTCGCAGTGCTCGATCCAAGTCTGTACTTCAGCTTGTATCTATAAGCCGCCAGCATCAATGACCAGTGCAGCACTCTCAGTAAGCATTTCTTAGGCCCAGCTTTTCAGGGGCAAGCAAACCAGGCAGAGGCTTGTGATCGGTGACCGCCTCGAACGCTCGGCAACAAACATACTGCCGAAACTTGGTCACTCCGAACACAAGGGCAAGGGCCTCTTTGTCCAGATGGCTGTAGTTACGTTCACCCCACCGCGGTGGTCTAGTGGCTAAGGGACTAGACTGCTGACCCGCAGGCTGTGGGATCGAGTCCCGGCTGCGGTGGCTGCATTTCCAATGGAGGCGGAAATGTTGTAGGCCCGTGTGCTCAGATTTGGGTTCACGTGAAAGAACCCCGGGTTGTCGAATTGTCCGGAGCCCTCCACTATGGTGTCTCTCACAATCATATCGCGGTTTTGGGACGGTAAACCCCAAAAATCAATCATCAGTAACGCTCAGCAGGTGCGAGACTCTTCGATGCAAATGCAATTGGCCGTTTGGTGCCATATTCATTGTGTTGGGCCAGCACAGCACCCTCCCCATATATTGAAGCATCGCAGATAAGCACCAGAGGCTTCTTGGGATCGTAGTGTATCAGAACAGCTGCTGATGCGAGTAGCATCTTGCTTTGTTGAAAAGCTTGTTCTTGGTCACGTTCCCCACACCCATGGTGCCTTGCTTCCAAGAACTTGATTTAGAGGATGCGACCCGCTGGGCAAGTCGGGGTAGGAACCGCCGTAAAAGTTCAGTAGCCCTAGGTAGCTCTGTAGTTACTCGACCTCACTTGGTCGGGGCGCTTTTAGTGCAGTTTCACTTTTCTTTCAATTTGGGTGCAAACGCGCAGACTTAACGACAAGGCCAAGGTAATCGACCTGTGGGGCAAGAAACACACACTTATTCAGTTTCAGCTTGAGTATAGCCTCCGTAAGGTGGCCTAGCACTCGGGTCACATTTCCCAGGTGATCCTTGTCGTTGCGTCCAGTCACCAACACATGATGGAAATACACGACAACGTGTCTCAACCCCAGCAGAAGGTTGCCCATTTTCCTCAGGAATATCGAAGGCGCTGAAGTTATACCAAAGGGTAAGCGAGTGTACTGGTGCACAATTCTCGGTGTGTTGATTGTCAACATTTGTTGACTCCAGCGAGTGCAACTTGTAATCATGCATCCTTCAGGGCAAGTTTGGTGAATTTCCCTCTACCACTTAGCTTGGCGCACAGGTCTTCACCACGAGGTATGGGGCAATTCTTCGGTAAGCTCACTGGGTTCACCGTGACCTTAAAATCTCCGAAAATACAAATTTGCCCATTTCGCTTCCATATGGGCACAATTGGCGCTGCCCACTCCGAGGTCCTCACAGGCCGCAGCACACCTGTGAGTTCCTTGAAAAGCAAGTCTTCATTTACTTGATCAAGCATCACGAATAGAAAAGGACGAGGTTTGAGAAAACTTTGGTTTCGCAGTTTCTTGAAGGCTGATCTTTGCAGCAACTCCCTTGAATGCTCCTCAGGTCATCGTTGAAAATATACACTACTACTCCGCAATAACGTCCTGAATAGACGAAACTTCGTTGACAACCGTCGTTCTTTGAAGTTGTAGTCCCAGACCTTTCATCCAGCCTCAGCCCATCAGGGAAGGGCAGTGGCCCGAGACGACGTAGAGCAGGTCTTGACACTGGTTACTGCCAAGTCGCGCGGACACATGCAGGGCTCTTTTACCATGAGTCAGCTCACCCGTATAACTTTTAAACAAGACAGTTGAGTCTTTCAGGCGCGTGGATTGGAACTTGCGGTGAAAGGTGTGTTTCGAGACAACCGAGACACTCGCGCACGTGTCAAGCTCCATTTGCAGCGAAATTATATTCACGGAAACGTCTACAAGAAATGGCAGAGTGTCCTCAGCACCCTGTAGTTTCCACATTTTGTATACTTGTGTCGCATCATCTCTCTTATCAGTTCCGCCACTAACGGTGTCGTGCACAACGTGCACAGACTTTTTCTTCCCAGCCAACAGCGCCTGCCCTTTAGAGTTCAAAATACCTTTTGTCCCCTTACACAACAAGAAAGATGGCCCATAAGCTTGCAATTGCAGCTCACACTGTTTAGATGACGGTGCTGTGTCGCCAGATGCTCGCTGCAGCAGCGAAAGCACATAAATGACGTTCCTGTCCGCGTCAGTGCCGACGAACAAGGTGCCATGGCGTTGACCGGCATGACGAACTGCCCCGGTGCCATCGAAAGAGTGCGCAAATCTTGCCACTTCCATCGCAATGACGGTTTTCTTCACCATGTCTAGCATCAAGCCCGGTTGCTCGAACAGTCGCCTGTGCGCTGCTTGATTCCCGCAACTATGTGGTCTCGCAGCATCCTGTCACGAAAGGTTCCAAACTCACAATCCTCAGCGAGTTTGTTCAAAGATGCAAAGTAGTCCGCAGCCGTTTCCCCCGTCTGTCGTGCTCTTGAGTTGAACTTAAACGTAGCGACGACTTCTCACGGTTTAGGTGAGAAATGCTTCCCGAGCACATCAAAATGAATGTTAAACGTGCTTTGCATGGCTTCGCAGGCACCAGAAGGTTTTGAAGCAGGGTATGTGTGGCAGGGCCACAACACATAAAAAAGACGGCTCTTTGTTTTTCATCCGGCACGTCGTTGGCAAAAAAGTACTATACAGTTCACTCTCGGTATTTTTCCCAGCTCGTCAGTGCGTCGAACGGCCGCAGCATGCCGACGCCAGGCATTTCCAAAGTGCAGGATCTCAGCTCTGCGCAGCAGGAGCACTAGAATAAACAGCCTCCACGCAGCTCAAAGCGTCTTGCTCGTCGCTACTGTGACATGGGGGAGTGGGCTGCCGCATGTAAGCGGAAAGCGAAAGCAAGCGACCAGTCAACACATATTCCGGTTAATAACTTTATTTCACCTGTGTGCTCCATGAACTGCGCTTCCGAAACGCGAGTGATTCCCTCGGTGCGGTGGCGCACTCTGTCGTGATCCTGAGCCAGATGCATGGCGAGGCATCACACGAATGTTAGATGAAATACATTTACATCAGTTCTTCGACTTCAAAGGTGGCAGTTTATGAGGCTCGGCTGCTCAACGTGCTGAGTCAGCTAAAACTAAAACAGCCAATGTTTTCATGTTGCAGTCACTTTTTTCATCATAGGCAGTTGTTGTTCACATTCTCCTTAAACGAGAACAACACAAAAGGACTACACGATGTATTGAAAATGGTAATTATAAGCCTACAGATTGATGGACCTCTTGCTGTGGGGGCGTGACTGAAACGATGCCTCCATCAGAAAGATCATATCGCTTTTGGTAACACCAACGAACCAGGTATTGTCTACTAGCGTTCTCAATGCACAGAAGCCTTTGTTTTTTGTAGTTGATACTGTGCACTTGCTAAATTGTGTTAGAAATTACTGGATAAACCAAAAAAGATTATGAAAAGTGTTTTCATTATCTCCCGTTCTATTTTCTAGCCACAGAGAGCAGAAGCGGCCAGAAAGCACCATTTTTGCCTTAGACACCTGTACCAGTCTGAACAAAACAAAATCGCAAAAGTTGAACATGGGCTCTGATGGAAGGTGCTCGATCCTACCCACTTGGAGTGGCAAGATGTAAAGCTTGCGCTTAAAATTTTCAGCAGCTTTGTGTCAGCAGCTCTCGCAATCGAAGGCAGGAAACTACATTTGCCAGTAGTTAAAGAAACTGCAACAGTTACTGACCTAACTATTAGGTGGTGAAAGAGACCTTTTATAAGTAGAGAAAGCTGCCGCCTTTTCTCTACGTTTTAAAACCTTGTTTATAAGATCCACGAAGTACGTGTACGACGACGCTGAATAACGTGTTGAAGAAATTAGATAGCAGTTGCTACATCAAAGCCAGCCATCTCAGCGCCCTAAAGCAATGCGCTCAAGCACTACTATTTCAGCAGTTTTTACAAACATACGGAGTTTTCTTCCTAAACGCGACAATATATCTAATATTGTTCTCTCATCTGGGTGTAATTTGTTAATACTTACTGAAAGATGGCTTACTGATGATGTATCTGACAC